GGGGTGGGGCAGGGGGAAGAAAGGCTGGGCCGAGAGGTTGTCGTTGTGGCCCAGGGCGAAGGCGAAAATGCCCGCGTTCCTCTCCATGTCCAGCTGGGCTCGCCTCAACAGCTTCATCTGGGTTTCTTCGAAGCGGCTCTCCAGCTCTTGCAGGCTAAAAGCGTCCTTGGCCCCGCTCAGGAAGTGCTCGGGGCTGGGGCCGGGAAGGCACATGGGCCCACCGCCCAGGTGGCCGTGAGCCGGGGGGGATGGAGGGGGCCGGGGGACGGTGGGAGAGATGAGAAGAGGAGGAGGGACGGAGGGAGGGATGGAGGGAGGGAGGGAGAGGAAGCCGTCAGCAGCCCCTCACTCTCCCATGTGCGTCCTCAGGTGGTACTTGAGGGACTGCTTGTAGCGGAAGCACTTGGTGCACTCGGTGCAGGGGTAGGGCCGCTCGCCCGTGTGCTTCCGCATGTGGATCTTGAGCTTGTCCTGCCTGCAAAACAAGAGGCCGGTCAGCGAGGTTGCAAGGGGCAAGTATGGTTGACTCCCCCCCCACCACCTCCTTCCACCCAAATCAGGAGAAAGAAAATGGGTTTAAAAAGCTCAAGAAGACAAGAGGCGGTTGCAGGGGGCTGACACCCAGAGACACGGTGCGGGGTTGGTCCCCAGCCCTCGGACCAGCTCTTCCATCCCTCAAGGAGGACTCTGGCCCCATGGTGGCGGGGTTTTGGCGTATCAAGCTTCAGGGCTCCTGCAGGGCACGCAAAAAAAGGTCGAGTTTAGGTCGGCTCGTTGGGCTTTTTGACCTTGCTCAGGTTCGCAGCGGGTGGAGGAAAGGCTGGCCTGCCCCCTCGCTGCCCATGCTCTCGCCACCCCCTGCGAGGGACAGCCCCTGCCCTTTAGGAGTTTGCATCCCATCCCGACGAGCTCGAAACGGCTTAATTGGAAAAGATAAAAAGAAAAAAAGAGAGAGAATAAAGCCTATACGTGGGAATATCCAAAGAAGTGATATATTCCTATATAGATATATTTATGCATGCAAAGGAGGGCATAAGGTGATGTGAGAAAGCCTGGCGTTTTGGGCCGGCACTGCTTAGCCAAGTCTCTCTCCGTGCTAATTTTCCTCTTATGCTTTCACTGACCGCTGGGTGTCTCAGGAGCTTTCCTTTGGAGCCGGGGCCGCTGCCCAGGCGAGAGAGGCGGGGGG